TCCAATTGTAGATTTTAGGAGGTTTTTTGTGAGGGTAAAAGTGATGTGGAAGAGAGAGTGTGTGGAGAGAGAAGATAAAGGGGGTGTTTGGTAAATGTCTGTTAGCTAGCTGATATAGCTAGTGAGTTTGACTAGTTGATAGCATTAGCTGATTGTAGAAAAGTGTTTGGTAAATTAATTAATTAGTTGTTAGCTATTAGTTGATTACATACAAATGACTTTCTCAAAAAGCTTATTGAAAAAACTACTTTGAGCAGCTTTTTAAATTTTAACATTTTGGAGCAATAAGTTGTTACAAAAAGTTAATTAATCAAACATTCATATTGGTTATTTAACTAAGTCAAACAACTAATAGTGGTCAAATAAGTCAAAATTAACTGATAGGATAACTATTTTACCAAACATGGCCAAAAGGTTGTTACAGGAGGAGTGATTTTTTGTGGGGGCTACGTGGAGAGAGAAAATGAAAAGTCACTCCCCCAACGCGTAAAAGCTTATTTTATTTTATTTTTTTTTTCTTTTGACACCTGTTTTCTTAATTTAAAAAAAAAAAAAAAAAAACAGAAGAAAAATTTGCTTTTGTTCTCTCTTTCCTCTTTTCTTGTAATCTGACAAAAACTCCTCAAAATTTATGCCTAATGGATTTGCTCTTATGTAGGGGTGTGCAAACTTTGGAGAATTTCCGGTTAACCGGCCGAACCGATAAAGTTCGGTTAACCGTTTTTAACCGAATTTTTTCGGTTCGGTTAATGGTTAAAAGAATTTCAAAATTTTGGTTAACGGTCAATTCGGTTCGAAAGAGTGGTTAACCGAATTAACCAAACGGTTAATCGAAGTTTTTAATATAATATAAATAAATAAATATAAATAGTAGTTGTGTAATACTAATATAAATATATAATGGAATATGAATGTTTAGACTTTGGATTTTTTATTGATGATTTGAAGTTAGGGATGAATTTATCATGATATGTATTTTATTTTAATCGGATTTAGTATTTTAGGTGATTTTTAGGATTTTAAATTTTAGCTTTAAAAAGTTCGGTTAATCGAAAAACATTTCGGTTCAGTTAATTCGGTAACACAAACTTCGGTTCGGTTAACGATTAAAGGTTTAAAATGTTCAATTAATTTGGTTCGGTTAACCAATTGAACACCCCTACTCTTATGCATCTTGTACCAATAGCTGGTATGGAAGGAGACAACATATGATGTTTCCTTCTACCAAATATGGCAAACAAGTTGACATTTTCTTGAGTATAAGTTATCTTCTCTATTGTATGGGTCAATTGTAGAGATGTCAACGCGGTGGGGTGGGGGCAGGGGACATACCCCCTAATCACTGGCCCCGACTTTCTTCCTTATTCCCCGTTCCCGTCCCTATGCCGTCGGGGAAGTGAAAAATCCCCCCATTCCTATCCCCACCCCCAACTTTCTTCCATATTCCTCATCTCCGCCCCCGTCCCCGACGGGAAATTCAAATTGCCCCTATCTCCATCTTCGATCCCCTATTTTTGTCTCCATCCCCGTCCGTTTAGGGGCGGGGAATCGGGTTCCCCATCGGATACAGGTACAATTGACATCCCTAGTCGATTGGGCTATCATAGCATGCCTTCTCCCCTAATCTCCCGTGAATAGGTAGAATGGTACCATTATATTAGGCAATTTTTTCTGTAGACCATGGTTCACATAACTTTAAAATTTACATTTTTAATATATTAAAGGTATATTATTTATGTATTGAATGTACATTATTTGATATTATACAAAATAATGTACCTTTTTGATACTCAAATAATATATTTTCAAATAATGTACTTTTAGTATATTAAAAATATAATATGTATCTTTTATTCATCATCACACAGATGTGTGGACCATGCTCTATAGAATAATGATTAGTTATGTTGCTAGGTCTTGGACTTTCCCGTGGGCTGACAATACTTGGGTTTGGACTACCATGGACTGCACTGTGAACTCTAGTGTATATGTATGTGTCTTATGTTATGAGTTTTTGTGTCTTGTATTATGAAATTTTGTACCTTAAGAGTATAAATTATGTACCTGAAACGAATTAGTAACTGTGTCTTATGTTATGAATTTCTGTGTCTTATGTTGTGAAATCTTGTGCCTGTGAACAAAAATTATGTACCTAAATCAGATTTGAAAAATAAGTAAATATATAACATGTGTATGTGTCTTGTGTTGTGATTTTTTGAGTCTTGTGTTATGAAATTTTGTACCTTATGAGTATGAATTTTTTATCTCATCGTTTCAATTTAGGATCCATGCATAATGCTATGTGGATCTTAATGCATGATATAAATTGCCTTAGAAGACCATAACCTCAACAACCATTTAAAATTTCTAATGTACCAAATTATATGGTCAAAATTTGGATTAACTTAAAATAAGTTGGGTCAATGATCTTTTCAGTTTTTCAACATATGACAACCAAACTGGAATGAAGAGATCAAACTTGTAGCTGTGGGCTATATTAGTTTCATTGTGATCCTTTGGAAATAAACGAAAATAAACCAATATGGACTTTTTTGCCTTTCTGGATTGGTTCAATTTGTAGAAGTGAAAACGCAATGAATTTTATTATTATTTTAATTATTGAAGGGCAATTTGAAATTTTCCATCCAAGAAAATAAAAAATAAACAAAATATTTGGAAATTATAGCCTTCTATACAAGTGAGTCGCTCAGTACATATTGTATTATTTCATTTATAAGATTTTAATATAAATTAAATTTAGGGAAAATGACGAGTTTGGTCCCTGAGTTATAACCGTAGTGACGACTCAATCCATGTGTTATTACCGTATCTATTTTTAGTCCCTCAATTATGAGAGAAGTGGCGAGTTTGGTCCCTGACGCTAGTGGTGTGCTGACAAAATTAATTCCAGGGGTAAAGAAATAAATTTCTTAATAAAACTTGTAAACTTAGCCAAAATACTTTCTCCCAAATCGACAAAAATCCTAAGTTGCTTATGTAATCTGCGAAGAAATCCTACTCCCATTTTTCTAAAAAATCAAATTTCAATATTTTAATTCTATTTATAAAAAAAACAACTTAAATTACAATTTTTTGACAAATACAAAAATTTGCTCCATAACATGGACAAGATTGGTATCTTTTCCCTCGATTAGCATAACTCCATGACATTTTGATGGGTAATAAATCATCACATCTACATCGAAAATTATCCCCAAATTGAGAATGGCTAAATTAGTTCATCAATACAGAGAATATTGATTATTTATTTAAACATATAAAATAGAGAAACAACTTACCTGTGAATTTCGCAGCTTGGAAGTGGACGGATTTGAAATTTCAAGGCTTGGGGAAGAAAAAGACCTTCGATTGTAGCTAGGTATAAGAAGAAAAGAATGACTATTGCGCAATGAGTTTCAACATAAGAAAGGGATTATAATTTGAAATTTCTATTTTATCCCCTCTATTATTAAATTGTTTTAAAGTTTTCCGTTAGATGCAGATGGAATAATTAATGCTAGGGACCAAACTCGCCACTTTGCTCATAACTAAGGAACTAAACTCGGATACGGCCATAACTTAGGGACTAAATCAAAACTTGGTTATAACTTAGGGACTAAAGATGCAATTTTTCCTTAAATTTAATAATAACAAAAAAAGTTCTCTTAGGTCACGTGTTAAAATTATATGACCTCCTAATCAAAGAATTACAGTCATAACCAAATAATTATAATAGTAGAATGTTTTGTATTTTCACATGTTTGTAAAATCATGTCGTGTACTTTGCCAGTTGTATTATGATCTTTTTAAATCTTAACTATAATAAAGCTATATGGTTTGGGAAATAATTAATGTTACAACTAATGCCACAACATCTTCTATTGTAAAAAATTTAAAAAAAAAAAAAAAAAAAAAAAAAAAAAAAAAAGCACAACATTTACAAAATAAAATAGCTATATATATTATATAATCATATAAAAAATATACTTTTGAAAAATAAAATAGCTATATATTATATAATCATATAAAAAAATATGTTCAATTAGAGTTTAAATTTACACATACAAAATTTGAAATTTGCTTTCCAAATGTAATTATCTTAGTTATTATTCGTATTGTGAAAATTATAATATAGATGAAATACAATTAAGAATAAATCAATGTAATTATGTAAATTCTCTCTATAAGTTTATTTGAATATGCACATAATTAGAGATTATATTAACCATACAAAATTATAATTATAATTTTAATTTTAATTGTAATTTTGTATTCTATAAAAATAATAAATACTTGACCAATGGAAGCTCAAAAATATTATTATATTAAATAATTTAAAATATTTTAATTTTTCTATTTTTTATTTATATTTATAATAACATAATTTTTTTCCGTGCATCGCGCGGGTGAATTACTAGTTTATATATAATAGTATTATGGCCTAAGAAATACTATGGTGTGATTGGTAAAGTGATACGGAGTATAATTTTATATAAGCTTATGTAAATCGGTTGGTCAAGAGACTCTTTGATGATTAGGTACGATAATTGTGTGAGATGTGTGTAATGAAGTGAGTACAAGATACTTCTTTGAGTGGGATCAACTCAGTTATTTATACTATACATGGAATATGTCTATCCTTAGTTGGTTTACTGTTGTCCCACCGCGTGTCTCTTCCTGAATATCCCGTTAGGTCATTTGGTCGTTGTAGATATACTTGACCTCGAGCCTCGCTCTTCGATCTCCTCTGCCACATACGACCTTTTGTATTATGCTAGCTATCTATACCTACTTAGGGCGCAAGTCGGGCTACTCGACCAACCGAGTAGGTATACTTTATCAATGTACATTTAATAAAGCACAATGTACAACTTTATAAAATACAAAAATATTGGGGATCTTCCATTATATAATGGCATAATGATATGTGTAGGACAAGATTTCCCAAAATTCCATGCCTTGGTTTTGTTCAAAATAATTTGTCATTACATGTCCCTATCCCAAAGTCAAAAACTCCCTACTTTGAACTTTTCACCCCTACAATTGAGTATTCTTCCCGGTGGTCTTAGCCACCGCCAAGTGTCCCCATTATCCATGGCGACTCCGATTCCTCCTCATCTCATTACATAAGCAAATGAGTTACAACTTATGAGTACTCCACCACCTCCATAGCCGCCCCTCCATAGAAACCATGTCTGTTCCGCCACCCACCAAAATGGCTCAGCCCTTCCTCCACGAGTTCAAGAAACAGGCCTCTTTCTTCCTCAGAGAGAAGATCAAGACCGCCCGGTTAGCCCTCACCGACGTCACTCCGGCTCAACTGTAAGTTCTGTTGCCGATCCGATCAGTGTTTTTGTTGCGTCAACTAACGATTTCCCTTTACGTGTTAACAGATTGGCGGAGGAAGCTACGAGCGGCGGGCAGGGGTCGCCGGATACTCGCACCCTGAAAATGATATCGCGGGCGGCGTTTGAGATCGACGATTACTGGAGGATCACGGAGATCATGCACAAAAGGTTTGTTGCATTGGGTTCTCCGTGTTGGGATTGTCGTACTGGTTGACTTTCTGTTTGTTTTTTTTTTTCTCAAAGTTTTTATCTTTTTTTGAGAGTTTGTGTTTGTTTGTGGTTTAGATTGGCGAGGTTTGATCGGAAGAACTGGCGAGTGTCGTACCAGGCTCTGATTGTGTTGGAACACTTGATGACTCATGGCCCTGAGAGTGTGGCAAAGGAGTTTCAGATTGCCCAAGATGTTATTGCAGAAATGGGGAATTTTCAATTTATTGATGAGAGAGGGTACTGAATGATTTCACCTTCATCTTTTGCATTTTTTTTAGTGAAGGAAACCATAATTACTACCTAGAGTGTGCAATTGATAAAGCCGATCTTATATTTTTGGTCAAATCACGTGTCCTAAGCAAACCTAACTGTATGAGACACCTTTAAATCCGTACCATACTTAAACTAATCCACATTCGCACCTTTAAACATGTACCATACTTAGACTAATCCACATTCGCATGTTAGGGCACCTTTAAGCCCATTCGCACAGGTGCTGGCCAGATTGTTTTTTTTTTTTTTTTTTTCATACGGGAGATGTTTGAACTCCCAACCTCTCTTAAAGGATGAGAGTGCACGGCCGCACATACCAACCAAGCTGGTTGAATAAACACCGTTTTATGACGCTAGCCGGTACACAAATAGGTTATCCATACCTAGCCGCTCAAATTAAAAGAGATGAAATTCAAACTCATGACTTTGTGCTTACAAATTTGTATTCTTAGTCATCTTGGCTAGGATTACCTCCATTTTTTTTTCCTCCACTGTCCGAGATTGTGCAGCGGATAAATCTTTCTTTGTAGCCCTAGTTAGCAAAGTACAGGTAAATCAGCTTAGGTTGTCCTCGTCTTGTTGCCCTAGCCGGCAAAGGACAGATAAACCAGTCTAGATTGTCATGTTCTAGTTTGCAAAGGACAGATAAACTAGCATAGGTTGTCTTAGCCCTACAGCCCTAGCTAGCAAAGGACATGTAAATCAATCTAGGTTTTTCATAACTAACTAGTTCAGACCAAGAAAGCCAATAAGACACTCTATTAGAAGTCGAATTTGTAACTTTGTGATTACCAAGTCAACAACCTAACCAACGTGCCCGCATAAATTGAAAGATGTTTGATTTCTTCTTGTTATTGAAATGTGGTTTTGTGATAGATCTTGATCAATAATTGGGTATGCAGATTCAATTGGGGGCTAAATGTTAGGAAGAAATCAGAGAGAGTATTGCAGCTGCTGGAAAATGAGAAGCTTCTGAAGGAGGAGAGAGACAAGGCCAGGAAGATAACAAGAGGGATTGAAGGGTTTGGAAGCTTCAGCCACAGAACCCATGCAGGTGAAGGACTTAAAGAGGAATCAACACCAGAACCATACAGAAAGTGCAATTCCCTGTTCATTGATGGTGAAAAACAAGAAGATGACAGTAAAAGTGAGAGCCCAACAATTTCCTGGAGTGGCTCTGATGATTCAAGCATGCATGGAAGTAGCAGTAGTGCTAGTACTCTAAACAGCTTCAAAGAAAACACGACTCCTGAAGAAGAAGAAATCCATGAATGTTATGGTAAAGGTGAACTTAACCCCCTGTTGAGTGGACAGATTACTGATTCAAGAACTGATAATTCCCAGGAAGAAGATCACCCTTTCACCGATGAGCCCCTCCCAACGGTCTCTCTTCTCTCATCCTCAGATCACATCCTGCAAGCATGTTGAGTTTTCGTTAGTGCTAAAATCCATGGAAGTGCTTGATAAGCTCTCAAGCTGAGAGTGTAGTTTCATTCCTTACCAGTACAAAAGAAACCGGTTTGTTGAATACATGAACACCATTGATATTCTGTAATGCACAATACTCTATCATTATATTTTATTGATCAAAACCTGCATCAACAGCTTGAGAGTAGAGTATCGTCTAACATCTTGTGTGGATAGCAAAAGCGGATCAGTTAAAAGCTGTACAGATCACACAGAACATATCAAAAGTGTATTCGGGTGCACTATGAGAGAATAGTCATTTTACTGCTTAACAGATCAAGCCAAACATTGGCCTCATTCTCTACAATTCTCTCAAAAGTTCAGTATCCTAAGTACAAAGAGTTAGTATTCATTGTTTTTTTGGGTTATTTTCTTGATCTGCCTTCTACGTTCTAACTTACAATGATCGGGCCAGCTTTACATCCTATGAATATACTATACAGATGTATGATTAAGAAGATTACAGACATTTGTGGCAGGGTTACAGCTTGCAAAGCCAATCTTGGATGGCCAGGCGCAATGAATGGTTGGGAGTTAGCTCTAAGTGGCTTAGTTTCAAATTGGTCATTGGGGAAGTATCCCGACCACCTTCCAACCATCCTCGTATGGCCTCTCCTTCATAGGTAAACCCGTCTGCAGCCACCTGAGGGTCGTACATTAGCTCCTGAAGCAATTCAAGAATAACGTGAGCACCATTGTACTATATGCACGCAAAGGATGTAATAATTAAAGCATGTGCTCCATCTCAACTAAAAGCTTAAGCAAATAGCTGGATTGCACATTAATGGTTATATGCTCAACACGCCCCCTCACTTGCGGTGGGTTCCAAGCAACACGTGGACCGTAGTCACTTATCGGGTGACATGACCTTTAGTCTGGCTCCGATACCAAATTAAAGCATGTGCTCCATCTCAACTAAAAGCTTAAGCTAATAGTTGGATTGCACATTAATGGTTATATGCTCAACAGTAATACCATGACTATGTTGGGAAAGAGAATCGGTAGAATAGGAAATAAGATATGCATGCAAGAAGGATCTCGTTTTAATCAGACTGGGGAATCTAGATGCTATTCTCCCAAGGCAACCATTTCATTGCCCCTACCGCTTATCACTTGCTCAAAGATGATACTATTCGAGTGTTTTAATTGCATGCAACAAACATTACATACCTGAAAAATAGGACATATGAAAAAGGAGGGCACTGCCCGCTCCTCCAAGGTGTGCAACTTCTCCAGCTCCCTTACAAGAGTTGGTGTCAATTCGGGCCTATCCCTACTTTTTCGCTCACAGCAATTTAACCCCAAGTCAGCCAGCCTCCTCGCTACATATGAAGACCACTCCCCAGCGGATGAATCTAAAATGGATTCCAGTTTCCCACACGAGACAGCCCTGCGTACTTCACTGTACAGTTCTGCTGGAGTCCGTCCAGTGAGTATCTGAAGTATGATCAACCCAAACGAGTAAATGTCTGACTTAGGTGTCAGGGTCCCAGTGACATGAAACTCTGGATCTGTATATGAAAAGACACCCTTTGGCACACTAAGACGTCGGAAACTTGGGCAACGCAGGGTTTGGTTAGGGACTAGCTTAGAAATTCCAAAATCACATATTTTGCAACTGTTGTCAGAACCAAGAAGGATATTTTCGGGCTTCAGATTACCATGTACAATCTTTTCAGGGTTAGAAGAGTGTAGAAACAGAAGTCCTTGAGCAATTTCAGCAACAATGCGTGATCGGATTTTCCAACTAATAGAGCCAATATTGTTCTTGTGGAGAAGGCGGTCCTGGAGGTTCCCACCCGGTATATACTCATAAATAAGGGACCAATCTTCAGGACATATGCCAAGTAAAGTCACCAGATGAGGATGACGAAGTTTTCCTAGAACTTGGACCTGGATATCAAGAAACGTTGCAGTTTTATTTATGTTTCAGTTGCACAAATCAAAGGAACCCAACTTTATCTGACAAGAAATGTAACACAAAGATGGTGCTATCCAAAATAAGAAAACTGAAGTCCAAAGAACAGTATACTTTATCCCCCAAAAAAGGGTTCTAAAAAATCAAAAGAAACTTTATAGTTGAATTAGAAAACAAATTCAACTTGTTAACGATTCTTTACCATATAGATGTAAGAAAAATGGACACAATGATTTCAGACTTGAAAAAGTGAGGACATATCATATATCAGCGCATCAAGGTAAAGCAGAGAAGACAAATATGATAACGTTTTAGAGTTTTACCTGTTGAAGAAACTCTGATTGCCTTTGCATATAGTGAGGATGCAGCTTCTTTATGGCAACTGATCTATCTAATAATTCCCCTTTATAGACACCACCATATCCGCCCTCTCCAATCTTGAAGCTCTCTGAAAAATTGCAAGTTGCTATCTGCAAATCTGAAAATGAAAATTCCACCAACTCACTTGAATCTACTGTGAAGTTGATGGCCCCATTTGTATTTACTCCCTTAGCCTTTCCACTACTCCTCCAGCGGTTAAGCCAATGCGCAGCCTCGTCTTTCTGTTGCTGAAGCTTCTGCTTCTCCTTCCGGAGAGTTGCTATGGAGGTTTGGATAAGTTTTAACTCTCCTGCAACCTCTCCACACCGATTGTTTGCTTCCTGTGCACGGCTATCTAGGAGAGATATATTCCTCATGGCCATTTGTAGCTTGCATGATATCTCTTCTCTCTCTTCTAAATGCTTTTCTTGTTCCTCTATTGTAGTTCTCAGAGCACGTTCAGCTTCTTTCCTGAGTTCAACTTCGCGAACATGTGCATATTCCCAAGCTTTAGTCTGAGATAAGCATATTTCATTAAATTAGGATTAACATACGGTGTTAGTTTTATCATCGATCAAATTAAGACCTGTTAACTAAAACCAGTATTTCACTAGTATATTGATTTTCTTATATATCAAACTCTGAAACGGTTCACTAAAACCTGTATTTCATTAGGATGGTGTTTATTAAAGATCGAAGTATATAACACTATAGCCTTTAAAACTGTTGAGCATATAGCCATTAATGTGCAATCCAACTATTAGCTTAAGCTTTTAGTTGAGATAGAGCACATACTTCAATTTGGTATCAGAGTCAGACCAAAGGTCATGGGTTCGAATCTCAGCGCCACCCATAAGCGACTACGGTCCACGTGTTGCTTGGAACCCACCGTACGTGAGGGGGCGTGTTGAGCATATAGCCATTAATGTGCAATCCAACTATTAGCTTAAGCTTTTAAAAACGATCACTTTCTGAAAACATGCTAATGCTTTTGAAACTATAGTTTTTACCTTCCTCATAGCTTCTGCCGCTTCAGCTTCCAATCTATTGCACTTCAAAATCTCTGCAAGCAATTCATTCCTTGATGATTCAGATTCTGATTTGATTTCTCGAAGTTGTTCGTGAAGATTTTCTTCTCCAGATGTTGTATATGAATCTGGAGACAATCGATGTTCAGCAGATGAAGTATAGCCACTACTAGTGCTAGAGCTTCTAGTGCTATACACAGTTGAGGATGTGCATGCATTGGGTGTGCTCGAATCCAATTGAATGACAGATGAAGCAACATCCAGCTCAATTTCTTTTACTCGAGTCAAATTTTCTATTCCAGCAGGGAGTACGTGCCTAGCAGAGCCTGAGTGGAAAGATTCTGGAAGGACAATAATCTCGTTCTTAGGTAACCGTAGAGATTGAGATCGTATAATGTGTGAAGTGGTGGGCTGCGAGAGACTAATGGGAGATTGACCGACAACTGAGTCCGAGAATTCAGGAATCTGTCTAGTAAAAACTAGTTTCCCTTTGTTGACAAACATTATCTTGCAGAATGACGGGGCATTTCTGGCAGCATAACTTGCTTTCCTAGAGATCTTTTTTGCCTTCATGCAACTGTATAAAAGAGCTAAGCATGAGTTTAGGAAAGTAAATTCCATGCTTCAAAGGCACATAAGAGAGGAGTTAATTCAATTGAGGCAAACCAAGAGAACTAGCCTAAAGGGTCAGTGTAGGAATGAACTGGCATGAATGAATTTTAAACTTCTGCAGCAATAAACAAGTCTTCATGATATTTAGACCTACCACTACACATTATTTCCCTTACCTTGAATAAGAAGTAAAGTTCAATAAGTTTTAAAACCATGAAATAAGTGGGCAATAAAAGGGTGGGTTCGTAGCTTTGGGGTAGAAATTAACACCTATGGGTTTGAATAAATCATATTGACAAGATATGCTTAAATGCAATTGTTCAACGAGAATGCATATAAAATTCCATCCAAAGGTCGCATTAACCAGAAAACTTGGATATGATTTAGCTAAACCTAGACCTTAATCTGGAAGAGTTTAGAGGGATAAAATCTAGAGATTATAATTCCCCTCTTCTAATTGTCCGTGTTGCAAGGAAGATTATTGTAACAATATTTCAGTGAAGAGGAAGGGCATTGGGAACAAGCTACAATTCACGACAATTTTCCTTAAGGAAGTTCACTCATATAGAATGTCATTAAAAATTCATGGTAACATCAGTAGACAGAAAAAAGTATTTGCGATCTGCCCCCTAGAAGTTGTTAACCGAAACGAAACTATTTATGCTTAGAGTAATAGAATAAGAATACAATTGAAGAATGCTACAATTAATAGCAAAGAAGGCAGTTTATCTAAACCAAATGGAACTGAATTCATGATAAAACTGGGGCACTCACTCTGGAATAGCTCCAATGACAAGCTTCATAATATTATGTTCATTTACCATATCGACAATTCCCTTATGAATTTGATCTGCTTCAATTGTAATAATGCTTGCTTTAACCTGAAAAATCCATGGAGTATTTTATAGTTGAAGTAACATTAAACAGACTGAAATTTTGGATCAGAGGAAAGTCAGACTGATCTAGAATACATCTGCCACGTGTTAAAACTAAAAGCAACTTTAATCAAATATATGAATTCCATTTATGGATGTAAAGTTCAGAAAGGTCCCAAAAAAAAATATTTAACAATTGATGCACTCCACTAAAGATAGACACTCAATTTCTGAAAATGTTCACTGATATGAAAGCAACTATTAACAAACTCTAAACATTAATTGATTAGTTTTCCTAATAGGACTTCCAGAAAAGAAGTACAGCAGAGACAAATGAAAGTTATGATCAAAAC